ATTCAACTCAGTCCACGGGGATCGGTCATAATGACGCCTGGTGCTGCTGCCGCAACAGTGAAATAGTGCCTTATCATATGCAGGTATCAAATTTATCTATTATAGTAATGACACTAGGCTCGTTTTTTTTTTCTTTCACATGCACAATGTTTCATTTTATCATAAAGATTGTAAACTGATCATTCAACTTATTGTTGGGGTTATTTACATGGTATTTGTCTGAGAGGATATTTTATAAGGATTATTTTTATAAGGTTATTACACAAGCATACTCCACAATGATGAGATATTGTTCGCTTTGGGCCTAAGCTCTCACGGTTTTGCTTTTGGTCATCACCCAAAAGGCCTCAGTATGTGTATGCTTTATAAATTATTATTTTTTCTCTTATTTTATCGATGTGGGACTTGTTCGCATCCCAACACTTATTAATCAACATTGATTTTCATATTGATAGATGAGGGGCAGAAGTGAGAGAAATAAATACATTACAAGAAAACAATGAAATAGCTACAAAAAAATAAGCGTCGGCTAATATCTGACGCAAATACTGTCGAAAAAGCCGATGCTATTTTAAGATGTAATGTCGAGCTTTAACTTTTTTGATACTAAATTTAAATTAAGTTTAGTGTCAGAAAAAATGATGCTATTTTTTAAATATAACATCAGCTTTTCTAACATTAATTTAATTTAAATTAATTTAAATTAGTATCGGAATAACCAACCCTATTTCTTTAGATATCGGAAAAGCCGACACTATTTCTTTAGATATAACTAAAGAAATACTGTCGGCTTTTCTGACACTAAACTACAACATTTTTGTAGTGATAGTAGCCATAAACTTCCCATTAGCAACAATAGAAAAAGAGAAAATACTTTGAAGGCAAGAAAATGAATAATAAAATACGAGTCAGGTAATATATATCTACATTAGTATTATTTTAGCGGTGTTAGACACTAGTCAAGAAATTACATGTAAGGCCACCTATTGCATGTTTATACCCAAATCTTGGAAAGAAGTTAGCTCAATATATGATCACAGGATCACAGTTTTTCATGATGCTTGGTTGCTACAATTGATGACCTTTTGTTGTATGTGTTGAGACTAGAACAGAATGTTCGTTTAAAAAGGACATGCATGTAAATACCATACACATTTTTTAACTTGGAATGCTTCAAGATGTCCACTATTTATATATGTTGGTCCCAAGTGCTTGCATCCCTGAATATATACATATAGATAAAAAGATATATTAGAAACCGTTTGGCCTCTTGAACAATGTGTGCACTACACTGGGAGAAGTCATGGGACCAACTGGGAGACAGGCGCATTGGGCCTCTTTTTTAAGACTTCATAGCTCTGAAACAGTGAAAACAATGAGAGAACCAACATTGAATACTTGATCATATCACGTGGCATTATGAACCACACTTTTATGCACCTCAAATTAGTCATGGGACCAACTGGGAGACAGGCGCATTGGGCCTCTTTTTTAAGACTTCATAGCTCTGAAACAGTGAAAACAATGAGAGAACCAACATTGAATACTTGATCATATCACGTGGCATTATGAACCACACTTTTATGCACCTCAAATTCTAACCAACACAGCATGAAATTTGCATAAATGATGTTTCCGGCCCCCACCACTCTGAGCAAGTGTCAAAAAGATCCAATTAGACTTTTTTTTCATAATCCAGAAGGTGGGACTTGTATTATCTACGCTAACATGTCACGTTGATTCTTAAGAAATTCCTCTAAGACAACATCACATGCCTTGTCTCTCATTTGGTCCCATGACTCCTATTTCACATATCCCTCCTTCACCAATAATTAAAATAAGCGAATAATGGTTTATCACATATCATTTTATCTATATATATTCATTGCTGCTAACATTTAGAACCAACACAAATCTTTCACATACTAAAGAATTCAGAATTCTAAACCATCTCCATATTTTTCTTAAACCATTCTATTCTCAAATCAATATAACAATGGGTTTTCGTTTACCCGGTATCAGAAAGGCATTATTTGCAGCAAATCAAGCATCTTCAAAAGAAGTGGATGCGCCAAAGGGCTATCTTGCAGTCTATGTTGGGGTGAAAATGAAGCGGTTTATGATCCCTGTATCGTACTTGAACCAACCTTCATTCCAGGACTTGTTGAGTCAAGCTGAGGACGAGTTTGGATATGATCATCCAATGGGTGGTCTCACAATTCCTTGCTGTGAAGACGTCTTCCAACGTGTAACTTCAAGCCTGAATTGACAATAAATCTAAGACTTTAGAATACTGACATAGATTAGTGAAGACATTTTCACAATAGGCGTCTTCTCAACTTGTATAAATCTCCCTTTCTTGAGAATGAAGGGTTAGAAACAGAATGACATAATCGTAGTATATCATATTCTTTTGTGCAATTACAATGAATTCAATTACTGAAGCACCTCTTCTGTATTTTCTGCTTTTCTGTTTCAATGTTCACTTCTATTTGTATGAGCAACGTTGAATTCTGTTATAAAACATTTTGTTCTGATGAATTTCAAAGCTCAAATAAAGCACATCATCTGTAAGACTGTAACAAGTGTAGATAAAAAGTATTTCCCCCAGGACCAAAAACAAAGATATGAATTTATTTGGGACAAAAAAAATATATTTTATTAATAGATATACATAAAAAATTAAAATTTTGATGAGCCAAGACCGGAAATAACTCAAGAGGTACCTCCCTTGGCAAACCAGGTGCAACATAATATTCAAATCAAATACTGAAAGTTTACTTAAAGCAAAACAATAGGTCAAGCTGTATAACATTTATAGCTGACTAGTGGATATAACATAAATTATGGCAAAAAAATATCTATATACAGGTGGACTTGGAAGCCAGATATCGATATTATTAATATATATTGAATAAACATATATAAACTATTATATTATGCATATAATCAATTGTTGAAATATTCTAATTATCGATTATAATTTATTATTCTCAAACCATTTAAATAATTCTTTTGAAATTCTATCATGTCTCAATGGAAATGAAAATTTTCGTCGGTTTTATGTCAAATTGCCAGTTGGTATAAGTAATTTGGCACCACGGATCATAAGTGAACCACACAATGAGCTGAATTTGGATGGGACTTAAATAAATAAAACTCAAAGATTGAGAAGCACTATAGATGCATGTCTCACGTAGATTTGTTGATTGGTATATTTCAACATAGAGATATACGATTGGTAAAATGAGTTTTATAATTTTGAGTTATTATTCAACTTAAAAATCTTCAATCTCGTCCCAAATTAATCAATTCAAGTTTCTGTTTGGCCCTGGCAAAATGCTATTAGTTTTTTTCAATCTGTGAAGCATGTGGGCTGTATATACACAATGGAATTCATGATAACAATCAAGTCTTTTTATTCTTTTATCAGCAACCAAACTCCTAGTAGTCACTATGGCTCTAATTGCAGAGAGAATTGAACATTGTATAAATGATAAAAGAAATACTGATAAATTGAATTGGAATTCGTTGTCATTACTCAAAATTGATATATAATATTTACAAGTTGAGTAGATGCCTATTGTATAAAATGTGTCAACTAGTCTATGTCAGTCTCCCACAGTGTGAGATCTATGGGAATCACAATTGAGAAGTTATACGTTGGAAGACATCTTCACTACAAGGAATTGTGAGTCCACCAGTAGGATGATCATATCCAAACTCTTCTTCGGCTTGACTCAACAGGTCTTGGAATGAAGGTTGGTTCAAGTATGATACAGGGATCACAAACCGCTTTTGTTTCTCTCCAACATAAACTGAAAGATAGCCCTTTGGGACTTCTACAGATTTTGAAGCTGCTTGGCTAGCTTTGAAGGATGCCCGTCGAATAGCAGGTAAAAGAAAACCCATTTTTCTGTGTTTGATTGAATGAAGAAGAACAATCTCAAATTTTCAAAGAAATCTAAGTTGTTGTTGCTTGAGGATTGCAATGGCATGTGTTCTTTGTGAAGCCAAAGGATAGTCTATATATAATTTCTAAGATTCGGTATAAACTGAATTCCAAGAGAAAATGACTGTTAAATAATGGGAGCATACACACGAGATATCACATGGTGTTGTCTTCTGTGTATCTATGAAGGATAAAATTGTGCAGACGTGTGTGACCCCACCTTATCAAATAATGACCATCATAAAGCCTCCACATGTAACCAAATAAGACGTGTATAAGTGAACCTAAGTTTTATTCATGCATTAATTGGTATTCCATAATCTTGCAAACATGTTTTGGGCATGTTTTATTCACGTTATGTTGAAGTACAGCTGGAAGGTAATTTCGGGGAGATGAATTATAAGGCAATGGACTGAGAAATATCATAGATCATTATATTTCTGATGTTTAAGATTACACACCTATTTTATTTCAAGAGGATTCACTCGAGAACGTACTACAAGACAACACCATATGCCCTTTTGTTTTGTTGTGAGGATTTTTGTACTTTGTTTCCTTGTATAGTGCTATTGGTAATAAGAACTTGTTGCCTGAATGAGATTGCATCACAAGACATTACTTAAAAACTTTTTGCTTTTGGCAAATCTCAGTAAATTTTAATAGATATTATCAAATTTAAGTCGACATCTATCTGGCTACCAACATATTCAGAGAAGAGCAGGAATTTTGTTCCAGATATTGACCCGCCCGATAAAGAATGTTATTGCTGCACCGTATTCTATTTCAATATATCTCCTTTAGCCACATTTTTGATAGATTTTTCTATAACAAGTGGCTCATTCAATTCTTGCTCTCAGCTCCACGTAGAAGCAGAAATTATTTTCTTCACTTAATTTAGTACTCCTCCCGTTTTATATTCACAGCAAACTCATTAATTATTTACCAAGGGTCATCGATTCTTCTTGTTTTTATTTTTCCAAACAAACAGAAACTTCACATGGAGTATTAGTTGTTCCTTGTGCAGAAAGCATGGATGGCCAATACTATTTATTGACCCCAAAATTCACAAAAGCAATGTATAAAGATATTGGAAAATTTGGAGCACAGAAAATAAGAACTCTGATACAATGGGCTTCAATGAAAAGTAACAAGTTGTTCAAATATCAATGGTTAATACTGTCTCCCTTTCCAATGAAAAATTCAGTTTTGTTAATATTGTGGGATGGTATGAATATTTGTCTATGACAATTGTACCGACCTAGACCTAAGAACACATCTTCCCTAAATTCCTCCTCAATGTGGCTAAGCAAGTCTTGGAAAGAAGTTTGCTCAAAATATAATCACAGGACCACAACTGCTTCATTTTCTCTCCAACATAGACAGCCAAGTAGTCCTATGGCACGTCCACAGCTTTTGAAGATTCTTAGTTTGCTACTAATGATGCTTTTTTATTGTATGAGTTGGGATTTGAGAACAGAATGTTTGTCTTAAATAGGACAAGTAAATACCATGCAAGTTTTTTAACTTTTAATGCTTCAGGATTCCGTGATTTGTGTTGGCCCCCAAGTGCTTGCATTCCTGAATATATATAGAGATAAAAGCATATGACAGAAACCATTTGGCTACTTGAACAAATGGTGCAGGACTATTGTAGGAGTCATGGGACCAACAGGGAAACAAGCGCATAAGGCCCTGTTCTATTTCACTTTATAGCTCTGAATCAGTGTAGATAAGAAGAGAAACAGCATTGAATGCATGATCATATCATGTGCCATTATGAACCACATTTTATGTACGTCAAAGTCTAATCAACATAACATGAAATTTTCATAATGAAGATTTAATCCCCACCACCCGGAGTTTCTTTTTCATAGATCCAGAAGGTGGTACTTGTATTATCTGATATAACTTGTTACGTCGATTCTTAAGAAAGTCCCTTAAGACAACACCACATGCCATGTCTCTACTTTTGTCCCGTGACTCCTATCACATATCCCTCCACCAATAATTCAAGTAACCAAATAAAGGTTTATGACATATCCTTCGATCTATATATATCCATGTCTTCTAGCATTTAGGACCAACACAAATCATTCACATTCAATAGCATTCAAAAATCTAAACCTTATTCTCAATACTTTTCTTAAACCATTCCTTTCTCACATCATTACAACAATGGGTTTTCGTTTACCTGGCATCAGAAAGGCAATATTTGCAGCAAATCCAGCATCTTCAAAAGTGCTGGATGCGCCAAAGGGGTATCTTGCAGTCTATGTGGGAGAGAAAATGAAGCGGTTTGTGATCCCTGTATCATACTTGAACCAACCTTCATTCCAAGACTTGTTGAGTCAAGCTGAGGAAGAGTTTGGATATGATCATCCCATGGGTGGCCTCACAATTCCTTGCAGTGAAGATGTCTTCCATCATATAACTTCATGCTTGAATTGACAGAAAATCTAACACATTTTTAGGAGACTGACATAGATTAGTGGAAATATTTCTTACAATAGGCTTCTTCTCATTTTGTATAGATCTCCCTTTCTTGAAAACAAAGGAAGAGAAACGGAATGACATAATCCCAGTATACCATATTGTTTTGTTTATTTTAATTAGTAACTACAAAGAATTCAAGGACTCACACAGCTCCTCTGTCTTCTAAGTTTATTAGTTTCAATGTTCACTTCTCTCTGTATGGGAAAGGTTGAATTCGGTTAAAAAAACGACTTTATTCGGATAAATTTGAAAGCGGTAACTGAATACATGCTTCCTAACAAGGGTAGAGCAGAAGTATTTTCCCTAGGACCAAAGAGAAACACAAATTTATTTGGGACAAACAAAATATATTTTACTAATAAATATATATCAAATAAAAATTTTCACATTTTGATGTCCGAAGGAACTGAACAACAGACGTTGGTGCAAAATAAAATTGAAGGAAATATCAACAATTCAAGGTTTATATTTTTCCTTGCATAAACCTGGAGTACTTCTGTAATGAAAGCTTTCTCTTTTGTATAACCCCATATCTTCTGCTATGAAAGATCCAATCCTTTCAATAACTTTTGTCTTTTAAATAAAATTAAACTATGACCTTACAATAAAAAGTGTTGAGAATATGAATTAGCATCTATTATTAGAGTTTATTTCAGATTAATGAAACATTATTAGAATTCGTGTTGTTATGAATTTTAATTATAGGAATTATAGGTGCTATTGCACTTTTATAAATATTTACATTTATCATTTAGTTTTATGTTTATAAATAGAATTTGTATCAGCTTTCAATTGTATTCTTTTTTGTGTATTTAAGGGGGTGTATTGGATTAGGATTTTAAAGGAATTTTTTAGTTAAAAAAAATCATGCGAATTTTAAAAGACTTTGCAGGATTTTCATGACTTTTAAGACTTTGAAGGATTTTGCAAGATTTGAATCAAGATTTTAATGGATTCTACAAGATTTTTAAATCAGGATTTTAATGGATTTTACGGGACTTTGTGAATTTTGTAGAATTTTCGTGAATTTTTGACATATGATAAAATTTCAAAAAAAAATTCATAAATTCAAATTTAAAAAGAGTCAAAGACAAAAATAATTAAAAAAAAATAACAATGTCTAAATAAATAAATAATAATAATAATAATAATTATTATTATTATTATTATTATTATTATTATTATTATCTATAATATCATATCCTCTAAAATAACATTCACCTACATATTCATAGTTATACTAGTCGTCTAAGCATTAGCGTCTTCTCACTCTTGTTCATGAGTTTGAATAATAAGCTCAAAAGTATGATCTTCATTAACAGGTAATGTTGAAGATGAATGATCAAATACCTTGGCCATTATAAAAAACATGTAAAAATAGAAATATAGAAATATAAGATAATTTTTTATATAAAAAATCAGTATATTTGATACTGAGAAAATATTTAGATATATAAAATTTTTAATATAAACAGAAGTATTTAGATACTGGGAATATATATATATATATATGTATGTATATATATATATAAGTATTTTATTTATATATTATATTATAATTTTTGAACAATATTTATAAATATAAATTATTCTAACAAATATTTTAACAATATTTCCTTTTTTT